TTTATATACACTCAATTTGCAACAGCAATCATTTAATTTATTTCATATGCATGCAATTTGTAACCAGAAACATAGGTGCTTTTTTGAGATCCTGCTGGTGCAGGTTTCTTCCCTTTCAATGATGCACACAAAAGCAATCTGAGTGAGAATATTAACTTGTTGGAGAATCCTCCAGATCTATAATGACCTGCGGACACCTTGTCATTCAAATTGTGAACTAATCACACTACTACTCGAGAACGTTCTATTGATGTTTTGCTAAAGTCAGCACTGTCAGCATCGAGGAGAAGTTCTCCTATAAACCAAGCAGAAATGAGAAATGCGCTGGACTGCCTTAACTCCAATATTAACCCGGGTAACACCTAATGATGTATTCCAGTCACTCCGACTTCTCCGCTGTCATGACGCTGCCCTGTTAAGGACACTCTCGGTACAGTCCTTCCTGACTGGTGGCCACCAGTCGTGCGGCTCCACTAATCTGCTGGGATGAAGTGTGTGTTTGCCTGTGAAGAGGCCGGAGAGCACACAGCCACAATCCCTCATTCTCACATCCCTCCAGCTTTCAACCAGCCTCGTAAAACAGAGAGAGAGAGAGAAAGAGTGAGGGAGAGAGAGGGAGAGAGGGAGAGTGTGCGGATGTGTGCGAGAGAGATTAACTGGAATAAGCACTGGGGCACTAAATGTCTTTAGTGCACCCGAAAACCTTTGAGGCCTCAACCGTCATTACTCTTCTATGTCTGCCTCTCTTTGTGTGTGTGAGAGACAGTTAGCCCTCTTTATACCTGACAGAGACAAAAAAAATAAAAAATACACACACACACACAAAGCCTCCTGTCGACCTGAGGGCTCTTTTTATTCTATGCACCTGCTTTATTAACACTCCCAAACTCACAAATTCACGCTCCCCACAAATATATTCTATCCTAGCAACCATTGCTAGATAGACAAGTTTTAGAGGATGTTGGCAAAAATCCCATTAAACATAATGAGTAGTGCATTTGATCTAGAGCTGCTGCACAATAGCTGCGTTCCAAAGTCTAGGATGCATTTTTCGGTCACTAGGCCATAGTAGGACGTTCCAAAGTGAAGGACCCTTCGTATACAGCCTAGAAATGCAGACTACGTTCTGAGTGATTTCAAGGACACATCTAATATATCCTTCCAGGCCTTCGGTTACCCACGGTCCTCTGTGCACGAACGATGCAAAAGCATCACAAAAAATGGCGGAAAACAAAGCCGTTGGAGCAGAGCTTGTTTTAAAATGTAAGTTGTTCACGTACTTGAATTTGTCTTCATTACCTCATAAAGCGTAAAGTCACTGATTAATTAAAGCATTCGTCCATAAAACGTCCATATATCACATTTTATTTAGAAGTATTTGTATATATGTCGTTTATCAAACTATATAAGAACATCATAAACAACAAACAGAACGCAGCAGGCTCCATTTTCTCTCAGCAGCTCCCTCACGGGTTTGGCGCCGCTCTGGTGCCACGCAGCCTCATTAGGACTGTTCCATTTGTGTGACCAATAGGCTACTAAGGAGAAGTCTTCATAGGACTTTCCTACTGAGGACCTGCACTACCTCGGCTGCAGCCTAGGATTTAGAACGCAGCTAATGTAGAGCTTCCAGGTTAAGGCAATACTGCAAAGTCTGACTGTGTTGTAGCTAAGTGAGCAAGAATTTGTCACTATGTTATGTATATTAAGTAGGGGGTGTGGTGGCAGTGCAAAAACGCTCGTGATGTAGGCTACTTGACTGCTAAGTGCTCCACAGAAACAGGACAGGAGGTGCTAAACGCCTCACTCGGCGATGAAACCACAGCCATTTTACTTTTACTTTGATTTATTTCTAATAAAGTGTCCAACGTTGCTATTTCATCTCTACTATTACAGAGTGAACATAAACTTTAGATGGTTGGCCTAATTAATTTAGCTAATCTTAGCTGAATAAATGCTATATTCTCATATTATTTGCTCTTAATTTGCCATTGCAGCAGCTCTTTATTAGGTTGGTTTGATAAAGCAAAGTCACTGTTTTCTGTTTTGTTATTTCATGCTTTTTTTGTACCGTTTTAACAGGCCGTAGTTTTCAAACTAGAACCACAAAACTTTGGGATAGCAGAGCAACAGCCTAGTAACACCATAGCAACCTCCTGGAACACCACAGCATTGGCATAGCAACACCTGTGTAACCACCTAGGATACCACAGCAATGACCTAACAACATTTTAACAACCACCTGGGATACCATAACAACACCCTAACAACCACCAAGAAATGTCATGTTTTACGTGGAAATCTTCACTTTATAGGTAGCTTGAGTATCAACACTTCAACGATGCTTGTGCTTCTACTGGAATTCCAATGTTATGTTAGCTAAGCTAGGAGTAATGTACACTCCTTTTCCATTCAGGGATTAATCCTACTTAGTCCACCTATACTTAAACCCAGATATTTAAAGCACTAAAGCTTGTGACAGACATTCAAGCAGTGTTTTATTACTTTCTATGTTGTAGTTTTACAAAGAAACCTTTGGTAAAGTCTGCAGACGACAGTACACTGATACTGTCGGTCCATGTATTAAGTATATGTGTGACTGCTATGTTTGGCAGCACTTCAGTTCTGTTTAATTCTTTCATTTAAGTATAGTGCCAGCTTAACTATTAATATGACTATTGTAGCCTGTTGGCTGTTCAACCAAGACCTAGTTAAACAAAACAATTTACACTCAATTTGTAACAGCAAACATTTAATTTTCTTCATATATATGCAATTTGTAACTAGAAACAAAGGTGCTTCGTGAGATCCTGCTGGTGTGGGTTTCCTCCCTTTTAATGATGCACCCAAAAGCAATTCGACGGATAACAACACCCTAACAACCACCAAGAAATGGCATATGAACAAGCTGGAATACGATAGCAACTACCTGGAATACCTATATAAACTCAATTAAGTCATCAAAGACAATAGTGTTCTGTAACCTCTTTAACTTTTGAAGCACTGTTAGCTTTAAGCCAACTTAAAGCTCCCTTTTAGGTTATGTTTGTAAAGCTTGTCCAACCTAGCAACAGTTGCTATGGAAGAACATGTTTGTGGGCTTTTCCGCCCAGCTGGTGCGACTTTGTGTTCTGTTTTGTCCTCCCTGGCGGAGTGTCTGTAAACCCTCTCCTTCTGTGTGCTGTTTACACCCTGCTCAGGTGAGGCCAGACGGCGGGCGGTAAATCTAAACCCCAGCAGCAGCTCAGCTCGGCTCACAAAGACGTATAAATCCTGGCGCTGAGTGACAGTCCGCTGGCCGCCAGCCTGCCGTGTATGTGATTAAGCGTGGGTTTGCCTCTCCGCTCCGGGCCGCCCGGCGTCCCCTTCGTCTCCCCCTACACCAACCCCTCGCAGGCCGAGCGTGTCCGTCAGCCCCGCTTATTGCAGGACATATTTCACGCTTCCTCTTTTTTTCCCCAGACCTAATCCCAGCCACGGCTCCCATCGCCGTCCCTCTCCATCACCTGGCCGGCGGGACAGGAGACGACAGCGGCCGCAGGGCAATTTCCACATTATTGCTGCAGGGAGCTGGAGCGCGTTCTTTATCCACCACTTACAAACAACACAGCCGGCCCTTTAGGAGGTAAACAGAGCGGCCGGACACAGGCACACGGGGCAGCTGATAAAAGCAAAACTGGCAGGTTATAGAGAGGCACTGCGGGGACAACTCTAAACACCACTGTCGGAACTGACCTATTCATGCTCCGCCCACAAACACAATCATTAGAAGCATTCACGTTACTGTGGGAAACTGTGCATCGCTTTGAACGGTGTACTCCAGTGCTAAAAGCAGCAGACCACTCGTCAAGTCACGAATATTCCTGAACACTGTGTGGTCCCTGATTTTATTTTCTTTGTTGCTGTAGGCCTCTTTACAGTGGTGGTGAATGGAACCAGACGTCACAATGTCTACAACACAAATGTAGCCATTTTATTTACTCTCCAAACCCGCCAGTGAACCAACACGTGTCTTGTGAGTTTTTATATGGAATATGGAAAAATACGTTTTCTTTGGGAACTAATTTGCTTTACTTTTTTTTTTTCTAACTTTTAATTTAATTATTTAACCATCCTAATTTAATTTCTTGCTTGATTTAAGTTTAATGATTTTCTCTTTTAGTTTTAGTTTAGTTTTAGTTAAGTTTTAATCATGTTTTAATTGTTTTTAATGTTGTTTTCAATTGTTTTTTTTATTCTCGTTTTACTTTTTTTTTAAACAACTCTGTATTTTCTGACTCTGTATTTTTTCTCATTTGTAAAGCATTTTGAATGACAGCAGTGTATGAACGGTGCTATATAAATAGACTTGCCTTGCCTACAACACCCTGCTTGCCATATTTAAAAAATATATTTGTTTTAACCCAAAACCTTCTCAATTGTCTCGAAACTATTACAAAACAATGAATTCACCATCTGCATTCACGCAGCATATTCATAACCATCTCACATAATAACTTTCTGTGAGGGAGCTTTTAGAGGTTGACGTCTGGTTCCTATCACCACCACTGTGAACAGTTCTGAAGTTTCTCTAGAACAGAAAAACAGCTGCATTGAAGTGAATGTCCGCAAAACCTTCTCTTTAGATGGTATGAACTGCTTTTTGAGATGCTTTGCAGATCGTCAGCAAAAATCCCACAAATCAAAAACATGAAAGAACACATTTTTTAGGGCAGAGCATGGATAGGCCAATAAGACAAGTCCCTGAACTCAGTACGATGATTCCTGAATTAAATCACAAAGGCGCTATGAAAGTCAGAACTACTGCTACTAATAATCATCATCATCATCATCATCATCATACACTCAGATTCGCTTTTAATTCACCAAAATTCTCCATTCAGTTGAGCCTGTTTCATTTGAGGGCAGCTGTTGTGCTGCCATTAATGCTGTTTGACGATTATTCTTCATAGTGCTGTACGTATGTAAGATTATGAGGGTGGTCTAAGTTGTGTACTCACATTCTGCACCCTCCACGGGGTCTGAGTGGCCTTGTCCTGCTGCCTTCGGCTCAGCGGCTCCCCCTGCGGGCAGTGGCACTGCGGCACCTCCAGTGGGGCAGACTGTCCAGAGACAAATAAAATGTAGCTTAATGTAGTGGTGTAACTACTGGGGGGAAGGGGAGGGGGGTGTCGAAAATAACCTGCAAAAACAGCCTGTTATGAATTTAGTGTTTCTGTGATGATCTATCCACCTATACAGCAACAGCCCCGCCCACTCAAACTGAAGTTGTAAAGAGTGTTTCAACCCAGGTTGCTTTCTCCCAATTTTTTCCCCAATTTAGATGCATCCAGTTCCACCCAGTAGTTGGGACTCCCCCAGTCGCACGATACTACCAGCCTGTTTAATTGTAAGGGATAAATAAAGGTTGATTGATTGATTGATTGACTGAATTAAAGGGCATCTTTTTGCTAACTTCTGCTAACACAACGTCCATCCTACCCACCCAGAGAGAGCGAGGGCAACTGCGCTCTCTTGGACTCCCAGCCACGGACAGCTGTAGCACCACCAGGGATCAAACCCATGATCTCCTGATGATAGGGTCAACGCTTAGGCGGTTGCACCACTCGGGAGACCACCGGATCACTTTTTTTAATGAGTGACAATACAGGGCAGCCAATCAGAACAGAGTCATTTACAGATATCAGTCTTAAAGGCATAGTAACAAATAGCCTGTTTAATTCTAAGCGAGAAAGAGAGGCTGGAAAATCATCATGTAAAAAAATATACATGAAAATATCCTAAAGAAACATCGTAAGTGGAGAACAGGGGATACAATAAAATACAAAACAGTATGCAGAATATGGGCCCTTCAAGAAAATGAATAACTAAGTAAATTAAGAAAACTAAAATTAAGTAAATTATGAAAACACACACACACACACAATCTGGTCTTACTATACTGGTGAGGACTTCAGCAGACTTAGCTACTACTGTAGCCAAGCAATTCTACACCAAAACCTAAACATATCCTTAATCTCAGTTTCCCAAAGGCAATCTCTCTGCTCTTTAACTTAGATTTGTGGTGATAAGAGCACTTTTTCAAGCGACGACCTGCAAAAAGCACCTCACTTGCACAAAATGTCATGCTGTCCAATTACTACGACTAGCTTATAGATGTCTCCAGCTGTAGTAAATAACTTTTAAAAACAATATAAAAAAGTAGTTTTTTAATTATTCCCTTAACATTTCTGGTTTATTTCATAAAAAGCTTATTATTCAGTAACTACAGGGACTTGAATGCAAACGAATGGAGCAGTTTTTAGGTCATAGAAGTGAGTAATAAAACCTGCGATGCCAATGCCTTGTTAAAGTTTGCCACTTGACATTTTCTGGGTGGTAAAATTGATGACTTGTTTAAAATGAACTGAAACCATAATGAAAGGTAAGAAGCAAATCTTATTTAATAGATTCTTGCTGAAACAAAAATGCATCACATGCTTTTCAATATGAGTTTTTTAAGCGATCATTTTGAAAGCCTTATTTGTCAATAATTTGAATATCCAATTCAATACCATTTAAAAAGCATTACTCAAATAGACTACATGTGAATACAGTATAAAGGTATGATGCACTTAACACACACACACACACACACACACACACACACACACACACACACACACACACACACAGATGTGGTATGAGGGATGAAAGCAGCGAAGATTAAAGAGACGATGAAGAGGCCAGAAGAAACCGGGCAGCTCTTACACGGCTGTAAGGTACAATCAGCAGAGAGAACCACTGTGTCCTGTAGTGCTGCCGGTGCTGCTTCTCCAGTTCCTCAGAGCCCATCCTGTATTAAGGCTAATGGCTAAAAGGCTACTTTGTAAACTGCTGCCTCAAAGCCTGACCTGCAGGAACACATGCTGGAAGTGACTATAGACAAGCTGTGGACGGCACTAAAAACCAGCCCGTATATGACATTTTTCTCAGATTTCTTATGTGGTGCACTTATAATAACCTTTACTTATGCAGCACTTCTCATACATGTAGCAGCTCGAAGCGCTTCATAAAGAAATGGTAAGCTTAAAAACCTTGAATGCAAAAACACACAAGGCAAAATTTGTGATAATACCAAAAAAAAATTAAGGCAAATTCTAAAAGTAAATAACTCCAGTACATTATCTTATTAAATAAAAGCCACATTAAAAATATACAATACTGTGCAAGTCAATAATCACCCCAATTCATTTCCAGTTAAAACAGCCGTTTGATATTCACTTATCAGCTCCAGGAAGATATGATTAAGGAAACATTACGCACAATCCTCAACAAATAAATATAACAACACAGGCTACGTTCACATCACCAGGTTGAAGTGGCACAAATCTGATTTTTTGCCCTAATGTGACTCAGATCTGATGTTTTCAGAGCTGTGTGGACACAAATCTGATCTTTTCAAATCCGACCTGAGTCACTTTCATATGTGGTCCTAAATCGGATACGTATCCGATTTGTGTCCATGCGAACTTAATGTAACGCTCAGATCAGAATTCATGTGCTTTTTTTCCACTGCGCGTGACCATCATTCAGCGTTACCATGGCAGCAGCGCCGAACAGAAGTTAAAGCCTGTAAACGGTGGAAAAGCAGCTCATCTCACCTTTTTCTCCTTCGTCTTGCTCTAATAATGAAGCTGAGAGCTGATCAGAGTTAATTATCTTCACAGCGAAGCTCGTTCTGCTCGTTAGTTGTTAGTTAGTTAGTTGTTTGCTGATGATGCACACGATTCATTCACGTGACGTTACTGAGTATAATAACTTTTAAGAATGAAGTTAAGAAAAAACAAACATTTAAGAAGATTTTCACACTTAAGACACTTTTCAACTATGAAATATATGATGTAATGACAAAGAAAACAAATGCCAAATAAATATTACACATTATATAATAAAAGTTCCCCAGGAGTCGAGTCACTGGTGTTACTGTGTAACAAAAAATCTCTTATTTTGAAATAAAAGTCACACTGATGACATCACTTGACTTCCTTTTACCTGTTTTCTGAGGATCTCTGAAGAAAAGCACATGGTGAGTCCACTGTGTCTTTCAGTTATCAGAGATTTTCTCATTTAGCTCATGATTTCATATGAAGCCTTTAGCTGAAGTCACTGGTGTGACCGACTTTATTCTTAGGTAATTGTGAAAAAATAGAATAGAAATGGATTAAATTACATATTTTAGTGGATATTCTATGATTGACAACATGGGGTTTGATGCTCTGCAGCAGCCATTTTGTACAATGCATTGTTCATTAAAATGTCTCTGGTGTTACCTTTATTATGTGCAACACCAATGACGATCCGTAACACCAGTGACTCCTAAGGATAGATAAGAAAAAGTGGACGTTTCTGTAGAATGACCCAAATAACCTGAATGAGTTAATACCAACTGGATACTAAGTATATGAATCGTGATCTCTGACTTTGGCACAGAACTGTATTTTCAGATGTTCAGATGTTTCTTAAAAGTGTGTAACAAACTTAACTGGTTGACTGTGAAAAGTTCCACAGTTTAAAAACAAACCATCCAGAATCTGCAGATCCAAGATCACATATTAGAATAAAGGTGGACATTCATGTCCAAGGCCATTGATTGCATTTGTGTCATTTTATATATGAAATACAGCCATAATTCATTCATCTGACTGTTTTTCAACCTCTCTTTACATCTTAGAATTAAACAGGCTGCGTCTGTTACTGTGACTTTAAGATACTGTGATTCACGTAAGTGTGTTTTACTGATATCACAAAAAACAGAGAATTCAAAACTGGACATTTTTTCAAGCTTAGTTTTCATTTATGGACCGTATGGAATAAAGTGAACAGTCCATTTTGAAACTTTAGCAGTGCTTACATAGCACACTGGGTCCTTCAAATAAAAAAGGAGGAGAATTCAGTTTGTCAGGATATGGGCCCTTTAAAGACAGACGAAGAACGTTTTTTAGTTTTTCTAAGCAGTTATGAGCGTCTGTCGTGCAGCAGAAGACGGTCTGCGCCGAAACGTGTGGGATTCATTAAAGCAGAGCAGCGGAGACTTAATCAATAAGACAGTGGTGACAGCATTTCCTCCTTTTATGTAACACCAGGAGATTTTATTCAGTTTGATTAGCTGAGATGGAGGAGATAAGAGACACGGGAGATCAGACGACAGAGAGAGAGAGAGAGAGAGAGAGAGAGAGAGAGAGAGAGAGAGAGAGAGAGAGAGAGTGTATAAACAGTATGAAAGTGTATGAGAGAGAGAACGAAAGGCAGAGAGTGAGAGAATGAAAGGGAGAGAGTAAGAATGATAGAGAAGGTGAAAGGAGAGAGAGAGAGAACAAAAGGGAGAGAGACAGACAGGGAGAAAGTGAGAGTAAGAGAGAGAGAGTGTAGGAAAGAGAGAAAGAATGAGAGTACAAAAGAGACAAGGTATGAGAGTGAGAGAACAAAAGGGAAAGAGCAAGAGAGAGAGAGACAAAAAAACAAAATAGAGAGAGATAGACAAAAAGAGACAGAGTACGAAAGAGAGAGGCACAGGGAGAGAGACAGACAGACAGAAAGAGAGAGAGAGTATGAAAGAGAGAGACGGAGAGAGAGAATGAGAGAGACGGAGAGAATACGAGAGGAGAGAGAGAGAGAGAGAGACAGACAGACAGTTGGAGAGAGACAGATAGAGAAAGAGAGAGAGAGTAAGTGTACGAGAGAGAACAAAATAGAGAGAGACAGACAGAAAGAGACAAAGAGAGTACAAAAGAGAGAGAGAGAGAGACGGGGAGAGAGACAGAGAGAGGGAGAAAAACAGAGAGAAAGACAATGGGAGAAAGACAGTGAAAAAGAGAGACAGTATGAAAGAGAGAAAGAGAGAGAGAGAGACAATGAAAAAAGACAGAAGGAGCGAGAAAGAGACAGAGAGAAACAAAAACAGAGAGAGTGCAACAGTGAGATATATAGAGAGAGACAGAGGAGACAGAGTGAGAGACAGAGAGAGAGAGAAAGAAAAACAGAGAGAGAGAGAAAGAAAAAGGGGACAGAACAAAAAAGAGAGACATGTGGCGAGAGAGAATGCGCAAGAGGAAGAGTGTGAGAGGGAGAGAGAGATAGACAGCGGGCGCAAGAGGGAGAGCAAGAAAGACCCAAAAGTGAACGAGTGATAAAACTACACGAAACTACACGAAAACGAGAGCCCCCTTAAACACAAAGGAGCAAAGGGTCCCCTAACGCAGCTCCGAGGAAGAGTGCACTGCGGTTAACCAAGCAAGCGTGACGTGATATTAGAAACAAAGGCTCAACACGTCCCCATAATGACCACGAGTGCATTCCTAACAGCTCAGCACCTTCACGGCTGTCTCCATCACGCCTGTCCAAACCAAGTGTGGTTATAAAAACACCCCCACCCCCCCGCAGACCGATGATAAAGGAGCCACAGGTTACACAAGAAGTCGTTAATTCAAGCGTGAGATATTAGTGGATGAAAGACGGCCCTAACATGACCAGGTCAGCCAGGAAATAAGACGGAGGGATGTGTGTGAAATCAAATGAAGCAGAGTTCCAGTGAAACTCTCCCCTTATCACTTAGCACACTAGATCAAAGAACGGAGTGCGTGAGCTCAGCAGGGCCGGGCACGGTCATTACCTGCTGCACCGTTATAGCCACTGCGGTCGGTCAGTGTTCAAACACTGAAGTGGCTATGAAAAACAGCAGGGGTCCCCCAGTGGCTCAGACTGCCTCGTTAGTGGGACGTTTATTTAATGTTTTGAGTCTGTAATACTGCATGATACGCAGGTGAAGTTCCTGAAGTGAACGCATCATGTTAAAGTGTTTGTACGCAGTGACATCACAGCAATATCAGCCTGAGGAAACTCACTTGTGCAGTTTATGTCCAGAACAAAAAACATGAAAACACCTAGTTTATCACGCAATGATATACAAATAATTAAGCTACTGCTCGAATAACTGGCCGTGTACTCGTTAAGCACTGGTAACCAATAACTAACCAGGTACATATTACGCACAACAAGTAGGTAGCAAAGTACATGTAACAGACAAAAAGTAACTGGCTAACTAACTAATCAAGGATACACACAAGTAACCAGACAAGAAACAACTCGTTACGCACAAGTAACTAACAGAGTACCTGCTACTGACAAGTAACTAGCCAAGTACCCGTTACACAAAAGTAACAAATAACTAGATGAACACTTGTTACACATAAGTAACTAACAAAGTACTCATTATGCACATGTAACTAATAGAGTACTCGTTACACACAAGTAACCAGAGTACTCGTTTTTCACAAGTAACAAGTAACTACTAGAGTGCGAGTTACACACTAGTAACAAGTCGATTACTCGTCATGCACAAGTAACTACGTACTTGCTACACACAAGTAACCAGCCAAGTACTCATTATGCACAAGCAATAAATAACTAGCTGAATGCTCGTTACACAAGTAACAAGTAACTAGCAGAGTACTGCTAGTTATGCACAAGTAACCAACAGAGTTCTCATTATGCACAAGTAACTAGCTGAAAACTTTTTACACATAAGTAACAATTAACTAGCCAGATCCTCGTTATGGACATTTAACAAGTAACTAACTGTGTACTTGTTATGCAGAAGTAACTAAAAAGTACTTGTTACCACACAGGTAACAAGTAACTAACTGAGTAAGTTAGTAACACAAGTAACAAGTTAACGCACAAGTAACAAGTTGATTACTCATTACGCAAAGTATCTGAGTACTCGCTACACACAAGTAACTAATCAAGTACTGCATTACTTAAATACTTAACAAGCAGATTACTCATCATGCACAAGTATCTAAAAGGGTACTCGCTACACACAAGTAACTGGCAAAGTACTCGTTACCACAAAAGTAACAAGTACTTTTTATGCACAGGTAATGAGTAACTAGCTGAGTACTCATTACACACAAGTAACTACAAATATACTATTTACTTACAAGTAACTGAGTACTCGTTGTCGAGTGCTAGCCAAGCACTCAGTTTGCACATGTAATAAGTAACTAGCACTTACTTGTGCACAAGTAACAAACTCAGCACTCATTTTCACACAAGTAGCAAGCACTTTGGACCAACGTGCAATCTCGTGTGGTTTCAGTCACAAGCTTTATATGGCATGTATGTGAATCTTTTAAGTTTGGGCTACAGACTCATTCTGTAACCATCATTTATAAGTAGCTCTAACTGGGCTTTTCTGCATACTGTCACGTGACTTTTAGTATCACATTTAAACTGGAAATGAGCTAATTCTACTGACAATACTGCATTTGAAAAACAAGGTTTTACAATTTATATTATATTTCCTGTAGGTGCGTATGTATATAAACCAGGGCTGTATGATAAATGGTGTTTTTATTGTTATTGCAATAAGAGTGTGGTTACAAAATGTCAGAACAAATTCTCTCATACACACAGCGACATTACGTCATTGTCGCCGGGATTGAGCCCTGCTCTCCCACGAAGGAGACCAGTAACTTTTCAACTAAACAGCCAACGAAAAAACAAGCACATGCTCGAAAACTACTCCAACTACAAGCCTGTCAAACGTTAGGATTGTTCACACACCGAGTATTATGTTTTAAGTTCACGAGGCAGTAATGGCAACTGTCACAACGAAGCCATAACTTCAGGCAGGCTGGGCACCTTGCCGCCGTCGCCCTCTGCTGGCGGCTGGCAGCACAGGCTGGACCCTTGCAACATATTTAATAACTAAATATAAATAAGTAAATCAACCAATAAATATATATAAAATAAACATATATTTATTTGTTTTTGCAGCCTGTATTGAAAAAGCTGTTCAGTGAATGCTGACTGTTCATCAGTGCACAAAAAATGTGCTTGCAGCTCTGATTCAAGCAGCTCTTAGCATTTCATTTCTTAGTTTGCACAATAGTGAACAGTGCTTTTGTAGTTTTATATTTTGCTAAGTGCTACTTACATCACTTCCAGTCAGAGGTTCACTATTTTAATAACAATGTATCGCTTCTCATATGGTCAGCGTGATTTCTGACAGCTTTGTTGGACATCGTACTTTATGCCCGTATCATACAGGTGTAATATTTATGATTATATTTGTTCTTTTAGACTAACATGACACTGTTCCACTTTTGAGTAGTGAAATATACGCCGCTACTTGGTTGTAGAGTGAGAGAAAGGACGTACCATCTGCTGAGTGAGTTTAGCGATGAGCATCTCCTTCCCATTCAGCTCTTCTCTCAGCTTCTGCACCTCCTTCAACAGCTCCTCCACCTGGAACAGCATAAAGTATGAGGTTAACCCAGTTCACACACAGAACATCAGGAACCCAGCAGATAGGAAATGAAGCTTCATAGTGTGGTTCGATCATCGTCACTCAGTTTTTATTGATTTTAAACGCACCTATAGGGCCATAACCACCAGGGCAGGTTAAAGTGTAAGTGTACAGAAATCCATGTAGTTTTTAAACAGAAAACATGAGCGAAGTCACATTATTGCTGGTGTTACTGTAATTCAACAGTATTACATTATCCAGTGTGACTCAGGCTGGGTTTACAATACACAACTTTTTTGCCCGATTTTAAGCCCGATTTGCCCCTTGCGACACATTTTCACAATCTGAAGCGATTTTCCAAATCGGGAGCTCCATCGGAAGTGACTGACGGCGAGTCTGATCTGGTAATGTGAGAGGAGAAACGAGTGAATCTTTGAGTTCTTGTTCGTAGCAAATTCATTATGTGTCTTAGGCTACGTTCACATTATCAGGTTGAAGTGGCACAAATCCGAATTTTTGCCCTAATGCGACTCAGATCTGATGTTTTCAGAGCTGTGTGGACACACAAATCTGATCTTTTCAAATCCGACCTGAGCCACTTTTATATGTGGTCCTAGATCGGACACATATCCGATACGTGGCCATGCGACCTTAATGTGACCCTCAGATAGGAATTCATGTGCTTTTTTTCCACTGCGCGTGACCATCATTCAGCGTTACCATGGCAGCAGCGCCAAACAGAAGTTAAAGCCTGTAAACGGTGGAAAAGCAGCTCATCTCACCTTTTTCTCCTTCGTCTCGCTCTAATAATGAAGCTGAGAGCTGATCAGAGTTAATTATCTTCTCAGCGAAGCTCGTTCTGCTCGTTAGTTTGTGCTGATGATGCTCGTGATTCATTCACAGACGTTACTGAGTAGGATGTGCTCATGAGGGTCATTTCAGGACGCCGGTTCGTCCACGTTAATGACAGATTTGAATCACTTACTTAAACGAGTGTGAACCATCGCGTCAGAGAGATCGGATTTGAGCAACCAGGCTTGTAATGTGAACGTAGCCTTCTACTCTCTGTCTTCCCTGTCGTCTCGTGTGAGCTCCCTCACGACAAAAGAGCCAAGGAATTCTGTGACTAACTGACGTTAGTTGTGTGAAGCTCTCCGTTTTGGAAATCTGTTCAGATTTTAAAAGTCATCTAGCGGTCGCCCAGCCTTATATGAAAAAAAAGTATTACACAAGGACAGCAAATTAGTCCTAGAGAGCTTCTCTTCAACTCCCGACAAAACACGTTAAGCGGCATGAGATTCATTCGTGAGTCACACACAGGAACCAACAATAACCAGAACACCAAAAACAGCAGGGAGCCCACTGGAGAGTCCACCAGGACTAACAGGCACAAGCCAGAAACGCAACTGGTGCTGTAGCAACCCTCAAACGGAAAAGCCGTCTTTTCTGAAAGCACTGCCAGGAAAGATTTCTCAAAACAAGCCAATGCAGAAGTGATGAAAACAATCATTACAATTTACTCCAAAGCATTCATTAAGTACCTTTACATGTACACAACATACCGACTAGATCCTTAGTTAGTCTAAGAAAGTAGACCGAATCAATGTGTTTACATGAGGTGCATAAAAGACTAGTCTGGAGCTCCTGATTGGCACAGCCAGCTAAGTGTTGGCGCTACCGTCAGGAGATCATTTGATGGCACAGTCATCCGTGGCCTCGCTCTCTCTGGGTGTGTAGGACGCCCATGCCCTTCAATCAATCCGCCTTGGGAGCCACAACATTTTATATCCATTTATTAAAGTAATGTTTTACCATCTTGGCTGTAAATATGTCTCAGTATGTGCTGATGTCCTAGTGTGGACTAAAAAATATAAACCAAAACAAAGACTTTCTCTGCTCTGCTTTAAGCTTTAGCCCAGCTATATCAGCTTTTCTCGCATCTCTGGCAGGAAACTTTTCAGCAAAACTAGAAAAGTTTCTTGTAAAATGTCTCTCAAGGTTCCACTTTTTATGAGGCTGACGTCGCTTCACCAGCTTCTTGTGCAAATTTTCCCATTCCACCCTAAATGGTGCTACAATGTAACTGCTGCATCAGTTAAAGTGGAACAGGAGAATTTGAACAAGAAGCTGGCGAATGCGAAGCTGATTTCAGCCTCGTGACTTTTTAGTGTCAGTTTTTCACTGCAGATTAAACGTATTAGGAAACCAGCTGGAGTGATTATAAATACAAATAAATCCATTCGTCTTCAAATTATCGACGTTCGTCTTAAATCTCTCTCCTCGCCGTTTCGTTAGCTACTAGCTAGGCGAGATTGTTTTCTGCGTTGCTGTGTGACCAGCAGTCTGTGCACCAACCTTCAGGGTTAGCAGCTATAGGCTACATTAACTCCAGCATTTAAGACCATTTATTGTTAAACCGTGTTGAACGATAAGCAGAGTTTTATTTTACTGTAAAGGAGGATTATTTTATTTTTACCTACAAATCTAATTCTGCTGTGAAGCTGAAACAGGACAGTAACAGAGCTGCATGCTGCCGATCTCTGTGCTAGCCGCTGGTGCTTCCCTGGCGAGCTACCTGCCATCATCTACAGTGTTCATGTATTTTCTGGATTTTGGAGTACATCACTGTCCTATGTATATGTTCACACAGGATGTTAAGAAAAGAGAGAAACAAGATTTGTTGTCCATCATAGCCACCAAGTGAGAAAGCTTTAGCAAATGCTAATGGTGTTTGGATGATAGACGAAAATTTGCCTTCTTCTACTTGCCTTTTTATTTGAATTTTCCAGTCCACCTTAAATATTGTTCATCTGTGCTTAATGTGACATTTTGTGGTAAAATTACATCACCTCACCTCTTCATGTAAAACTAAGCCCAACACTGAACCAGTGATGCATGTAAACGTAGTAAATGACCACCAGACTCTACTGGACACCTACAGTTGCCATCAAAAGTCAAAAATCAAGGGATCGAGCCTCCCTTGTAAACAGCTGCCGGCTAGGTCTGTTAGCATGCTAGCATCCATTAGCATATGAGGAGCTCGTAAGCGCTGTGCGGTGGGCAGGGGGCCGAGATAAAGATGGCTCGTAATATCTCAGGTCTAGAGAATCTCTTTGTGTTAAAGCAGCTTTAGTAAGCAGCGAGCTGTGCTTGAGTGATGCGGCTTTATCTGCCTCGCTATTCTCCAGGGCGCTCTGTGCAGATTGCGGAATAAAACCCAAGGGCCAGAGCGGCGATAAGCAGGGCTGCCCTAATGAAAAGGGCTTTATTAATTGATGAGGAAAAATGCAACTAAAAATGAATTGGCGTCACAAGGGGAAGTAAAGGGCATGTGGCCCGAGCCAAGTTTTTTTGGGCTCCTACCGTCTCTGAACGTGGTGGGAGTTTAATCATATTTTCCAACCCAAGCACAGTGAACAAGTCAATGTTTTCCTAGGATGGAAGAGAAAAGGTCTGGAGAAAAAAGGTTTGCTCTGACATGAAACCACAGCACTTTTTCATGATTAACAATAATGAGTGGCTTATTTTTACACTAATAATTTACTTACTGTGGCTTTATTTTGCTTAATAACCCCATAAATTCCAAGGTTCCATATGTGGGTCCATATAATCCATAGTAGTTACTGAATAATTAGTAGTGGTTGAGTAATTTATAAGTTTTGTATAATTCATAGTAGTTACTGTATAATTTTTAGCAGTTACCGTGCAATTCTTAGTAGTTACTGAATAATTCATAGTCGATACTGAGTTATTCATAGTAGTTACTGTATAAATAATAGCAGTCAGTGAAAAATACATCATTTCTGTATGATTTATAGTAGTTACTGAATAATTCATAGTGGTTACTGTATAATTCATAGTAGTTTCTGTATAATTTTTAGCAGTTACTGAATAATTCATTGAAGTTACTTAACAATTCATAATAGTTACTGAATAATTCATAGTGGTTACTGTATTATTCATAGAAGTTACTTAACAATTCATAATAGTTACTGAATAGTTCATAGTAGTTCCTGTATAATTCATAATAGTTACTGAATAATTTATAGACGTTACTGTATTATTCATAGAAGTTACTTAACGATTCATAATAGTTACTGAATAATTCATAGTAGTTACTTAACAATTCATAATAGTTACTGAATAATTCATAGTAGTTACTGTATTATTCATAGAAGTTACTTAACAATTCATAATAGTTACTGAATAATTCATAGTAGTTTCTGTATAATTCATAGTTTTTAGTGACAGTAAAGCAGCATAATGCTGTTTATCAGTTGCTGTTGGAAAAACATGTTCCTCACTGATGGCTGTGTGCAGCCATGTAAACTTGTAAACGGTGACAGTATTTGTTATTTGTTTATCTGTTTAGCTGGAAAGAAGGTAAGAAGATGCAAAACTTTTAATTCTGCTGTGCTGTTCATGCCGTGAAAAGAAACAAACAGCAGAATGTCTTCAACTGACAAAGACACTCCCTTCCTCTTCAAAGAATAGGCAAAGTTCACAAATTGGCCAACTGACTCTTCACCAAGTCCGCCTTGGTTACTGTTGCTATGTCTGACAAGCTTTTAAGTGTGCAATGGCAAAAACTGTATTGAAAAAGCCCATAGACGACTATTTACCCAGTGAAATTCTTCGTATTTTGGATCAATGCATCAAGATTTTCAGAACGGAGTACATAAAAATGACCCTGAAGCTATACGCAAAACATGGTGCTCTCAGCAGCCTAAAGTGCAAAATGTATAAGGGCAGGCTAAAAGCACAGATAACAGTGATGAAGTGAGAAGTCTTAACATATGGCAGTTAACTACCTATCCCATTTGATTTTTGAGTGGTACCTCCTACCACACTGTTTAATTCTCATTCTAAATCTCTCATCTTGGGTCTTTGGGCTTAAGAAATGGGTCAAATTTCAGCCCCCCAGCCCAAAAATATATATAAAGTTTTCAGTGTTTCAGACTGATGAGTAGTGACAGTTGGGCAGTGGTACACAAGTGGCACAGTGAAAGTCCCAAAAAATGGAAATACATCAATAAAGTTGAAGCTGTCTTACTTGCTGTTGGCAGCCCGGATCTTCCGAGGACGGACTGTAGTCTAACTCCGTGGACCCATCAACTGATCCATCCTCTTCAATCTACACAGGCAAAAGCACACAAACACGTACACAAATTAGTTGAGCCTGTCTGATTCTGCACAATGGCTCACTCTTGGGAAAAGCCTTCCGCTAAGGTACACCCCCAGCCCCTCTATTCTAAACCACATTAACACCCACCCGGGCCTTAATGAAACCAAATGCCTTCTCCAGCCTTTGTTTATAGCACAATAAGGGAACTAAATAACAAAATGGAAATTAATGGTGTGGGGAACAACACAGTAAAGCTACTGGCTTAATTATGACATGCAAATAAAGAGTCGACTCTTCACCGATGGAGTCGCTGCTTAACGAAGGAATTAATCTGGCCCAGCGAGCAGAACATCAACAAGCGCCAGGCGCACCTTAAAGGGGAGCACGGCCATGCATAACTGATCCCAAATCAGTATTCAAGGCTTTGTGAAAATCTCAAGTCCTAATCATATCCATCATGACAAACAATGAGAAACTGACCCAAGAGCTGGTGATGAAGGAAGGGGCTGCCTGCACGGAATGCTGATGAGGCGATTGAGAGGCTTTTTTGTGGACGAGGGGGAACACACCATCCATCTCAAGAGCAGGAGCTCGGAGACAGAATGATCCAGAATGGCTGGAGGGAGGGTTCAAAAATCCAGCGTGACGGGCCAGGCTTGTGCTGCATAGAGAGCCCTTGCTTGGGGCCATTTCATGAGGCTGGAAGCCAGGGTGGGTCCATACATTCAGTGAGTGGGCGGCGAGGTGTATGGCATAGTTAAGAGCAGTATATATAATGCTCCCTGCTGATCAGTGGGTCTGCTCTTTTCTTTTCTAAATATGGCGCCATGGCAATACTGCATTTATTTCACACTGCCTCTTGATGAAAATGCTGCCCTTTCAGAGGGTGGCGGATACTTCAGCTCCGTGAAGCACTGTCTTTCATCTAGCTGTCAGAAAACTACAAGCAATTTCAAGAAAGCTTCCGCAGCCTTGGCCCAAAAAGAAAGGGAGAGGGCGATCAAAAGATCCGAGTTTTAAACATATAATACCGTCTCTTGGCATGATCCTAAAAGTTACAATGCTAGCACTGAATATCAAACACTAAAGGACAGGAGAAAAAACAGTTCCACAACATGTAGATATGTAAGCAATGAGAAGAGTCAGATCCGCGGAACAGGAGGGATTGCGTGGACTTTCATCCATCTGATTTCTTTATCCTTTCATCTCTCTCTACTCATCCCTTCATCCTTCTAAAGCCCTCCCCTGGAAGGAGCCATTTGACAATCTACATGCTTCTCTGTGGAAATCCGCCTCAACCTGGTGCTGATCTGAGAGCAGATAGTATTCCCAACCTTGAGAATTGATTCAAGATCAGCTAGCCTTCGAATCTCAGGCCACTCCAGAAGCAATCTGTCAAATCAGAACAAACCCAAGATTGGCTAGTTTTACAATTGTTTGGCCACTTCAGAGGCCTTTTGTCAAACCAGAACTGATCTGAGATCAGGCCACTTCAGGCCACACCAGAGGCCACTAGTCAAATCAAACTGATCTAATATCAGATGGAGCTCCAAAAATTCTAAGCTTCCAGGTCAGGGGCACATTCTTCAAACCCAATTACCTCAGCTTCCAAAAACAAAGGCCTGCTAAATCCATCACATTTGTTCTAAATGAAAATGAATGGCTCCATTCACTCAAACTCTATCGACCTCTGAAAGAGCATAACTCAAAAGCAGGATGCATGGATGCTTGTATCAAAACAAGACAAGCGATTCCAAATCTACATCTACCAAGAGGCTTCCTGACTCCACACATTAACCACACAGCAAACAAGGCAGCAGAACCCCAGTGGATTTCAATGTAATTACATAGCCCTGGCACCTCACTCATGCATCAAGTCTATGACTTCCGTCATCAACAAAGACAGATTAGCATGTAGCCTCCTTGTTCTGCCCTCACATAGCCTGAGGTATGTACAGAAAACCATGGCCTCAGATACCAATATTGACATTTTTCCCCCCATGAAAGGTGGAGGATGATGCTTTGTGTCTTGTTTGAAAATTGTACCTCTGATTGCAGTGCATACAGCGCCATTCATCCAGGCTGAAGAGTCGATATGATTTGCGTCTTGCTGAAAAGAGGCGGCGGCTCAGAACACGGCGATAGGAATGAGACTTTTACAAGGCCTCATGAATCCTAAAAAGCTGCATTATGCTCAGAAGGCATGTATGAAAGGGAGAAATTGACAAGCGCTATTGACAGGCCTGGAGAAGTCAATTTCGGTTGCAAAATAGATGCGCATAAAATGAATGGTGAAGCAGAGAACAAGGAATGGAACACTGTTCCAGGTTTGTCAAAAAAGAGAGAAAGTTTTGCATCTCCAAGGGCAGAACTGCAGGACAGAACCTGAGGGAATCAGGTACGACTCGAGTGACAAGAATCTCTAACAACAGGCTACTAAAACTCGGTGTAGCGCCATCTCCGCTCTGCCATGTTTACTCTTCCAAGAAGATTAAAGGTCAACTGCATAATTAAGGGTAGGAGCGAAATCTCAGCTGTCTGAGGAATGCCTGAGGATAAACTGCGTACAAAGTGTAAAAAATAAAAAATAACCATCTCAGTAATTAAAGCTTCTCTTTCCACCAGGTATGTTTTAATCACCAGACGCAGTTTGAAAATTCCATGAGGTGATTGATTTCACCCGACGAAGACTTAGCATGCAGGTCTGGGTTGTTTTGCCAGAGTTTGTTTCTTCCCTCAGCCCTACCGAGACCAGTATTCTATTCAAAAACCTGTGGGTGTTCATTTCTCCTTGTCAATATCATCAATTGTTCCGGTATGAAAAAAAAATTGGCAGTGACATCATCCACTCACCCTGTTTATTAATTCATTCCCACCACTCAGCTCACCTGCAGGTTGCTTAGCTTCTCTTTGCAGGCGCAGCACACCTCTCCATCTCTATCTCTACCTACCATTAATGCCTCAGTGGTCAAAGCCTTTGAAAACTTTCAAAGATGCCGAGTTCTCGCCAAAGTAGGTACGATCCAGCAGGTCCGACCCATCAAGATCCACCTCCCCCCCAGCATCCCTCGCTCCCTTCCAATGGCCTCTGCTCTTCTGGCTTGTGCCGGAGGCCCTGCTGTGCCTTCTTTGTGTGGGCCGTGAGGGGCATACCATTACCGCCCAAGCAGTATGATCCGGCCGAGCACGGCAAGGCTGTATGCGGTGGGCGTGCTTAACAAAAGTTTCTTAAGGCCGGCTCCTTCCCCGCTGCTATAAAGATCGTCTGGGGCACAAACCTATAATCACTGTGGTCGGCGTAGTCAGTAAGAACGGCAAAATCGATCGAGAGAGCAAGACTGCTGACAGAACAGGCTGGTATGTATTAGTCACACACAGTGGCCTGAGCAACAGTGCATCCACAGCAGAGTAGGGGGGAAAAAAATGACAGCCAGGCATGGGTTGAATCAGTATCGACATCCAGCAATATTTGCGATCAAACACAGAGGACTCGCCACTCCAAGTTGAACAGGAACAGAAGTACGAGTTTATCTACTGCACCATAAAAGAAAAGTGAAAGATCATGTGGCCAAATTCGTTTTCAACCTTTTCTCTGTTTCTGAGCAAAATTTGATAATTTAAAAAAAAAGAATTAACACAAATCAATGAATACTTCATTCTCCATGCATGACGACCACAATATGTACGTACGTGAGGAACACCACCACATGACATGTTAAACAGACTTGTTCTGTGATGAATGTAGACAATTGACTACCTAGGAAGTTTCAAGGAGGTCTCTAGATAAGGATGGACAGAGCATGGATATAGAGGAAGCGAGAGTCTGTGACCTGCAACAGTCTCCTCAGCTGTAGCAGCTGCTCTTTGACAGATGAGCAGTCCTGGGCCATGTGCTTCAGCATCAGCTCATCCAGAGACGTATGTCCTGACCCTCGCCTCCCCAGGCCCGGCAGGTGACAGTCGTCAAACGCCTGCAGAACGCCACCTCTGCGGAGCAGACAGACAGAGAGAGGGACGAAAGGAGACAGAGAAGGACAGAGAAGAGCACACATAAAACAAGCAATCAGATGGTATAACAACACCAGACGCAGAGTTGGAGAACAAAAACTATTATTTCTACAAATCTGTGGACTATTTTTTGACTAATTGACTACTTTAATAAGCCTCGTTCTACTTTAGCGAGACATAAAAAAACAGAAACTTGAAGAGAAAAAATAAATAAATCATGTCCCTGAAAAAAATGTGCAACAGTGAATGGACAAGATTCCAACACTTAAATGAGGAAAATAAACAGCTTCCTGCTTTTTTTTTTTTTTAATCCTACATATCTATACCAATTTTTCGATACCTCCTTTTCAATCGCAAAAGTGGGTGTGGCTTAAACCAAAAAATAGCACAAGTTGGATGAAGAGGGTGTCTCTACTGACCACAGTGAGCTACAAAGTAACCAAGAAGCATGAATAACCTCACATACGGAATGCACTTTAGACAGCCAATCAGCAGCCTTTTAGAACTAGCATGTTTATTAGGTCATGGATGCTGTTAACAGTGGCTACTTAGGTATTGAACTTTGTTATAGAAACAGTGAATTTTTTTCAGATGTTCAGTACTAGGGATGCAGCGAACTTTCGGCCATCAAGCGTTCTGGCCAGAAATGGTCAAAAAAGAACAAATAGGTCTACACCATGTCACAATTTAACACTTTACAAGTAATAATAATAATAATAATAATAATAATAAGTAACTAAAATCAAGCATAGACATGTTCAAACATCTTGAGCCGCAGTAGATAAACAGTTAAAATATTGGCTGGGGAATTATTTGATGGTTTCTATGTGGAACATTAGATATGATATGTACAATGTTAAGCATCAAGAGGAGATATACTGCTCCAGAACCACTACAGGTTTGATACCACTTTAAAACGATACGCAGAATAAAGAGAAAAAAACCAAAGCAGAAAGTCCCTGCTTGCACGCCAAATCAAAAAAGTCACAAAGTGGAAAGTATAACTAAAAATATGATAAAATTCAACTGGATGACCAGTCGTTCTCTGATGTCAAGTACATTGGAATTTGTGACACATACTGCAATAATTTTAATAGGTTTACTGTATGTAATTTGTTTTTATTTATTAGCAACTTTTTTTGGATTTTATGGCCCAGTGTGTCCTGAGTTTCAGTTTCAGTTTTGACCCAGAATTTCAGGAAACTCACTTTCAGTTTTTCAAAGAAAGGTAGATGGATATTTTCCCACATCTCCAAAGTTCAGTCTTAGAAGTTGGTTTAGCGTTTTCTGCTTCTCACGATCCAAGTAATCCCAAACACATTCAGTGATGTTGAGATCTGGACTCTGGGGTGGTCAGTCCGTTATTCTGAGAACACCAGCAGCTTCTTTGTTTGATTTCTTCTTTTTTTGTCTCAGTGAGGCTTCTTGGCATCTACACATCCTTTGGAATCCATAGCACTGAGTTGCCTTCTCACAGTGAAAGCGTGATTTTCTCCTGTCCGATGGGGACACTTCTGTTTTTTCTAGATTTACCAAGGATTACAGAGCGCTTTCTGGAATCATTAACATGTCGACAATAAAAACTCGTCGATATCTCTTCAGAAAGGTACACAACACACCCACGTGACCTCTGGATCATACCGGGGCATCTCCGTCATGTTCCGTTCCATACAAAGGAGGCAGTGAATCGGTGGGTCGGACGGAATGGAGATGGAAGTGTAGTGTGACAGGCCCACAGGGCCGAGGCTGTTCACAGTGGCAGAGAGTCTGACGTGGGAGGTGATGGTGTGTTGAGGGAGGTGATGGTGTGTGATAGCAGTGAGGGACTGAAAACCTCCCGCAGGGGTCAGTCAGCTCGCATCGCGTTTGCTGAGGCTGGAGACGAGTGCGGAGACGGAGAAGAGAACTAGATGTGTCTTCTTGCTGAGAGATGGAGATGGAACAGAAGGCTGAGACACAAAGAGAAGGCCCAGAGAGCGCTGCAGGCAGCCAGTGACCTGACACTCAGCGTTTGGGGGCTTCCGTGACCGAACGAGCTTCAGACGACAGCCCAGAGTCACCTTTGCAGCCCGAATGATGACAAGAAGGTACACCCACACCATCTTGGACAGGATTGAAAGAGAAAAGGAATGAGCAGAACGTGCTAGCTTGCTACTGGCGCTGTAGTTAAAGGTGGGCGATGTGACTATGACTATGTAGCAGTCATATGCAAAAGTTCACCCCTGGTCACATTACACGTTTTGTTGATTTTCTAAGTGAAAATAAGGTAACACATGTTCTACAGGGAACAGGCTTAAATATATCATTTTTCTGCACATTTTAATGTACATTTGCTGAGTTTAACATATTGTAAAACAATAAAAGTGCTGTAGCTTTTGCACAGGCCACATTTTATGTTGCATTTATTTCCCCAATCTGTTAAATTCACCAAATAAACAGTAACTGGGCATTAAAATGTACAGAAGTATATTCTCTGTCGAGTTTGTTTTCACTTTTTTCATATTACTTTCATATTAGCCAATAAGCTAATTAAACACTGTAGAGTGGGGAAAAAACATACATTTAACTGTTAAAACTAATAGCAGCTCTACCTACTAATAGCAGGTAGAGCTACTATTAGTAGTATACTAGCGATCATTTCATATTAGCCAATAAGCTAATTGGCAAGCAAGGTAGCTAAATAGCCAAACTAAACACTGTAGAGTGGAAAAAAACAGACAAACATTAAACTGTTAAAACTAATAGCAGCTCTACTTACTAATGGTAGGTAGAGCTACTATTAGTAGTAGCTATAATTTGATATTAGCCAAAAAGCTAATTGGCAAGTAAGGTACCTAAATGGTAAAATTAAACACTGCAGATTGAAATAAAATCACCAGACAGACATTAAATTAACCTGTTAAACCTAATAGCAGCTCTAACTACTAATAGCAGAAAGAGCTACTATTAGTAGTACACTAGCTATAATTTTATATGGCAAGCAAGATAGCTATTTAGCCAAATTACACACTTAAGAGTGACATAACATCACCAGACATACATTAATGTACACCGCTAACACTAAAAGCAGGTAGAGCTGCTATAAGTATTAATCTCATTGAGGGATCCTCTGTGTTCGCTAAAAACAGCAGCTGAAGCTAACAACAATTTCAAGATGAAGTCACCAAAACACTATTAAATCACTAATAAGTGCACCAGAATGTAAACTAGGACAGTGTACTGATTTTTCCATTGACGTTTTCAGAATCATTAGTTTGTAAAAGAGTTCAACAAAAGGCAAAATAAGCTAGTTAAGACGCTAACGCTAATAGCGTTTATGCTAGTGGCCACAGAGCGAATGTTTTTGCTCATATTCTCACACTCAACAAAGAAAATTTGAGCTTTGTTTAATTCTTCACATGATTCTGTGTAAATGCAGACATTTGTGTGAGTGTGTGCACAGAATAGTGCAGTTCACAGATGATATTCGTTTGGCGTCACACACTGACACACAACCGGTCAACACTGCGATGACAGCAGCGCATGTAGAGCCATTGTTTCTATTCCACTAGTTAATATAGTGTCCTGACAGACCTGTAGCCATGGTGAGCTGCATGGTTCAGGGTTGTAGAGACAACAACAAAAAACAAAATGGCATAAGTGCTTTAGACAATGAATGCAGTTGTGCGAACGCCACAATGTTAGCAGGACTCGTGTTAGCTTCAGCTAACGTCAAGCTAAAACTGATTAACACTATTACACACACATATGTAGTTATTACTTATTTTTGCGATCACAATGAGGTTTGATGGTGTAGTTGATAGTAAAGCCAGAACATCGCTGACCCTTCCACAGACCACACAGTTATATGATTCTAGTGATTCATATCCTTTTAGCTCCTGCGATGTGCATGCTAATGGGCTAACTGGCACTCAAAGATAACTTATCGATTTGGTACAGATCGACACCTCTGATCAAACTGACCTTTTCTTGATATCTTGATTTGGAAGCCGGAACCGGCCCTGATTGCCCACACGCTTTAATGTGGCCTCGGGGCACTTTTTCTTCATTTTGCTAATAATATCTAAAATTTCATATCAGCCAAAAAGCTAACTGGTAAGCAGGGCAGCTAATTAGTCAAATGCTTTAAAGTGATGAAATGAGCAAACAGACATTGAATTAAACCGTTAATCAAATTCTTATATTCTTCAAATACAGTTATAATAAAACACGCTCAAAGTGGACAGTGAGTAAAGTACAAGGTAGGTGTTTCTAATAAAGTGGCCAGTTAGTGGAAGTACAAGGTAGGTGTTTCTAATAAAGTGACCAGTGAGTGAAAGTACAAGGTAGGAGTTTCTAATAAAATGGCCAGTTAGTGGAAGTACAAGGTAGGTGTTTCTAATAAAGTGGCCAGTTAGTGGAAGTACAAGGTAGGTGTTTCAAAAATAATAAATCGCAACACGTTGCAACGTCACAATAGAACCGTATCAAGACACCATGAATAGCAATGTGATGTCACTGCATTGGCCTGCAGAGGTTCACACCGCTAACACTCACATTTAGCTCACAATTCGACTCAATTAACAAAATTTATGCAAAATATGAATACAGAAAAATGTCTATATTGATATTGTTGCATGGTTTCTGCATTGCACTGTATTGTAACTATTGTAATTGCTCCTGCACTCTGTGTTGTACCTCTCCTGACCGTAGCAAAGTTTTTCTGCAACAGAAACTGACCTGTTGTTGTTGTGGTGCTGCTCCGGCCTCCCCCAGCATTGCTGTCGTCGCCTCCACTGTCCCGCCCAGTAGCCCCTCTCTGAACGCTCATCTGCAACAGCCAGGACACAGCAGAGGTCAGATTTCTGCGTATCCAACATGGTTGATGACAAGAGTTCTTTTTTTGGTGGTCAGTAATATCAGGTTTGAATACATGTTCACTACATTTACTTTTACAGGTTTAAATACGGGGATCATCTTTTGTTTTGTTAGTCTTAATTATTAGTTTTTGTTTACTTTTCAATGAAGAAAAGTTTCATATGTAGTTTGTTTATATTTATATTTAGCTATGTATAGAGCAAGTGGACAGTGAATGTAGTTACAACATAGGTGTTTCTAATAAAGTGGCCAGTTAGCAGAAGTACATGTCAGGTGTTTCCAATAAAATGGTCAGTGAGTGGAAGTACAAGGTAGGTGTTTCTAATAAAGTGGCCAGTTAGTAGAAGTATAAGATAGGTGTTTCCAACAACGTGGCCAGTGAGTGGAAGTACAAGGTAGGTGTTTCTATTAAAATGGCCAGTGAGTGGAAGTACAAGGTAGGTGTTTCCAATAAAGTGGCCGGTGAATGTGTTTACAAGCGTGTTTGGATGTGATGGGGAATACTTGCACGGAAGTAGAGTATATACACAGAACACATAACACAAGGCCCTTCCGGCACAAAGGATGACCACAGACACATACACTGCTAAGTAAAGCTACAGCATGCTTTACGATCATAGATACAAAAGCCTGACTGCCTGGATCCGCCAGCCGAAGAAGATGTGAGCACTAATAAGAGATCATAACTCAATCTGATAGCAGACTCTGGAGATTCATATCAAGAGAAAAGCTCTCTCTCACGCGCACAGCCGGAGTGAGGTATTATGGAAATGATGCCATTTCATCTTTAGTATAATAGAACCGCCTCTCGAATTATTCTGTCAGTCCAAGTAAGACGAGGCAGCGGAAGAGTGAAGCAGAAGGAGCCCCCGTTTCATCCGCCCACAGTCTACCAGGAGCAACTGGAAATAGAACACGCATAAACTGCATAAACTTTGAACTTTCGACGAGCCTTTCGCCACTGTGTCTGTAAATGCTCCATTTCTCAAAACGCAAACTCGAACAGCAACCCTGTTGACTCCACGAATAACAAACACGACGCCTCCTAAAAGAGCCGCTTGTGTTATTATAGTAGCTGAATCGACCTGTAAACATGAACCCTGAGAGGATTCTGAGAGCGCTTCAGTCAGGCAGCTGGAGAGAAACTTTATGGACCATCCTGTCAGGAAAGTTCTCAGTGAAAAGGTGTTATCAGGTAAGCTTCCTCTACACCCCAATTCACATACATACTAGAAGATCTGATTGTACAGTACTATACAAAAGTCAGAGTCCACTCTTTAATCAAAGTAAATAAACATGAAGTGGCCAGTGAGTGGAAGTACAAAGTAGGTGTTTCTAATAAAATGGCCAGTGAGTGAAAGCACAAGGTAGGTGTTTCTAATAAAGTGGCCAGTGAGTGGAAGTACAAAGTAGATGTTTCTAATAAAGTGGCCAGTGGGTGGAAGCACAAGGTAGGTGTTTCTAATAAAATGACCAGTGAGTGAAAGCACAAGGTAGGTGTTTCTAATAAAGTGGCCAGTGAGTGGAAGTACAAAGTAGATGTTTCTAATAAAGTGGCCAGTGGGTGGAAGTACGAGGCAGGTGTTTCTAATAAAGTGGCCAGTGGGTGGAAGTAGAAAGTTAATGTTTCTCATCAAGCGGCCAGTTGGTGGACACACACAGAAGGATTTACCAATAAAGCAGCCAGTTAGTGGAAGTAGTTGGTAGATGTATTTAATAAAGTGGCCAGTGAGTGGAAGTACAAGGTGGGTGTTTCTAATAAAATGGCCAGTTAGTGGAAGTAGTTGGTGGGTGTTTCTAATAATGTCACCAAGGAGCATGTTTAAAAGCACACTGTCTGCTTTTGAAGCTAGTGACATTATGTTAGAACATGTAAAAAGTCTAGGTAGAGTTCTGGGGGTCAGCTGGGGGCAGCTTAACTGACCCGCTGCTGCTGTCTACCATATTTTTGGCCACCTTCACTCGATGGCACCCTTGAGTTAAAGCAGCCACTTGAAAACATATTGCCAGGTCCATTCAAACTAGCATACAGAAGACCTTAGGAAAAGATTTTTTACTCACCGCTGTGGAGGGACAAATCTTCAGGCAGGTCCACGTCCAGCATGAGGTCATCATCCTCCAGATCACATGACTCCAAGTTCTCCAAGTTGTTGAGAATGTCCTTGTGAAGATAATAAGAGAGGAAATAAAGAGAGAAGGTTGAGAGGGAGAGACCAACCTGAATGAAGACAGACCTCATTTAAAACCAAAAATTCATCGCCTGGATTACGAGAATACTGAGAGTGAGAGTGAGAGAGAGAGAGAGAGAGAGAGAGGTGGCAGTAAACTTATACCCCATATGCGAAACTGGCCTTGATCAACAGAGGACAATTGCACACAGTTTCATTTGTTCAAAAAATAGAAAAAAACTATTGGAAATAAGGACAATAAGGAGAGATGTAAAGCAGCTCAATCGATACCGAGTCTATCAGGTTTTGTTGTGAGAGATCCATGTCATTTGGATTATCAGAATAGCTTGAGATAAGAGTGCATAGAATGCTTAGGTACAAAATTGATCTACTCAAACTCTGAGTTTGGAAAAGAAAATAAAAAAAAGCGGCCGTCTTATCCGAACGAAGTTCCGGAGAAGGCAGCTGAAGACAAACAGATTTTGCCGTGGCAACGACAAGGCCGAGGATTAGGAGCTCTTGAGCATGAGATGTTTAGGGTACATGCAGGCACTGGAGGAGAAAAAGAGGAGGACAGAGAGAACGACTGGTGCATGTTTGAGTGAAGTGCAGTTATCTGTGAAGCCACAGCAGCGTCTAGAATCCACCTCGGCCTCTGAGAGCTTAGTCCGAGCTCTAAAGCTCTGTGAAATGACTTTTCCTCATGAGCAACCGCTGACCACCCATAGAAGGACAGTGAAGGAATTTGGAGGCGTAGAGAGACTTAAATATGTGGCTGTTACGGCCAAGACTGGAGGTCATTGATTGTACAAGGATTATGGTCACCGATGATGCATCAAAGACGTTTGATGGATAAGGGGTAGAAGCTGTGGCCCAACACCAAAATCAAGCGATTGTTAAGCTGGCCTGACAAGCCAACTTACTGTTCTTCATTTTATTGTTCTACGTTTTTTTGTACTGTTTTCACAGTTAAAGTTTTTAAGCTAGAACCACAAAACTTTGCAGGAACACAGAGCACATACGGCAATAATGTGCTTGTCGTTTTGGGACCGATCGCATATACGGTTTTTGTTGTTTCTGCCGGCGGAAAGTAGATAAAGGTAAAATCTGACCGCTGCAAATGATGTCACAAAGGACGTCTCTCACACTGCCCCTCATAACATACAGACTGGCACACATACAAAAGCTTGTAACTCCAGCAGCACTGCTGTGTCTGAACCAGCGCAACACGCTACCTGCTCTGTGAGGGTCCATGGGGGTCCTGACCACTGAAGAACAGGGTAAAAGGGGGCTAACAAAGTATTCAGAGAAACAGATGGACTACAGTCTGTAACTGTAGAACTACAAAGTGCACCTATATAGTAAGTGGAGCTGATAAAATGGACAATGAGTGTAAAAACAAGGAGGTGGTCATAATGTTATGCCTGATCTGTGTATATTTATATATATATATATATATATATATATACATATATACACACTTTTTTTTTTTCTTCATAGCACTCTAGACAGCATAACTGTTCTATTCCGTCATGTTTTAAGTAACATTTGTGAATACAGTTTATGTGGCAGGTTCAGAGTTAATTGTGGCCTGATGGAGAAAAGACTCAGCCTCAGCTTTCTCAGCTGCTGATGAGGTTACTTGGTCATTAAGCGTCTAAATCGCTACCTTTTACTCTAGTTCAAACATCAACCTCTGGCTTGCTTAAGCTAAACCAAAAAACAGAGGGACACAAGGTTAAGTGTTAAAGGCAAGTGACCCCACTCAACATAGGCCGCAGGCCCATCGAGGGTGAAGAGCACATCTCCCTCTCTCTCTACGTAATCACAAAAAAAAAGAAAGAGAGCGAGAGAGAGAGAGAGAGAGAGAGAGAGAGAGAGAGAGAGAGAGAGAGAGAGTCCTTGCTTATGATGAACTACAGCTACATAAACAGCTTCTCCCATTTTCAGCCATTATGAATACATGTTTTTTGTGAGTGCAGTTTTTCTGCTCTCGAGATGGCCTTGTTACCGTCCGCTCGATCGATCCACTGTGTTTTTATCCTATTTCAGGCTGCATCTGTGTGAACTTCACATTCTCTGCTCCTGTTTTTCAGCCAGTTCTGTGCTTTTTTAAAGTGTTTCTTTGTCATTAGTACAATAAAATCTCTTATACAGCCTCCAAAGAGGAGTCTTCATACAATACACAGCACAGCTGCAGCCTCCATTATAATACCATACCAGCATCAAACACTTACTCTCCATGTCTTTGCTCCATGGTTACTCAATGGCAAGTCAGATCAGTTTACACACACACACACACACACATATATATATATATATATGTGTGTGTGTGTGTGTGTGTGTGTAATAATAACTTATTAAACTCTTTAGACTTCTGGTGCCATATTACAGAAACTTTAGTCTTAAGATCTGAAAAGGTCAAGATCAAATTTTTCTCAAATTCCTACTGCAGAAAGAAATCTTAGCTTAATTTAGGAATCTTATCTTACAGCCTGTTATCTGTAGTTAGGAAATCCCAAGCTACTCGATCTAAGCGGACAATCAACTGTGATGTCTGTTACCAAACACCCGATGATCTGCACACAGCTGAAATGTTAACACAACCAAAATTATGCTGACTATAACGTGAGCTACAGCTCCTGTTACCAATGTAAAAAAGGTCAAAACAAAACTAAAGTGGAATAAACTGGAGATTAAGAATCTGAGTCGCTCCCCAGTTTCAGTTTCCATTTCCCAAACGCTTCAGCCAACTGCGTTAACGTCGTTCCTAATAAACAAGAGAGGACGGTCCAGATCATGTCTGTAGTGTTTTGGATTTTTAAAACGTCAGTTAGAAAACAAACATCTTACAAGTGAAAGCACCGTTTTGCAGCACTGTGTGTGTTTACATGCACTTAATAATCCAATAACTGCAAATAGCCAATAAACTCACAGGAATAGACGTGACGTAAATTTAACGCAAAACTCAAACCTTTTTTTAAAGCATCGCGCCACTTTACCTGAAAATATGAAAATACATCTTCTAGAAGATGAAGAATATTTAAATCTTTCATTCATCAAGCATGTAGTTGGTTTCAGCGTCGCTCCAAAAGTGTTTTGCTGCATCTCGCAGCAACGCTGCCCGTTTATTTCCGGTACCGCTGTCTGTTTTCACACATGCGCAGACTGAGAAATCCGAAAGAAATCTGGGTAACAGGAAATTTAGTCTAGTTAGGATGTTTCTATAATACTGTTTTTTTACAGATAAGAATAGGAACTTAGGAACTGTTGTTTCGCAATGGCTACTGTCCTAAATTCAGTCCTAACTGAAGTGGTCATGGTAACCAAACATTTACGATGGTTCTGTAACATGGCCCCTGGTTCCTATCACCACGACTGTGAACAATTCAATTAGTCCGACGCCTCTGACTTTTAAAGGATTGATTTCAGGTTTTACAGGTCACTCACCATATTTGCAGCTATTATCAAGTTTGCACAAGTTTTAACACACATAAATGTTCGATAAATCAGGGCCTGATCGTACACATATGCTAAGAAGCTTAGAAATATCTCTGCTTAGCAGTCTTCCATCAAAAAATGTTACATAAACTTCAAAACAAGTGCTCGTCGTTGAAGTCAAGGGTCTGCTGAAAAATACATTACCCCATAAACCAGACTTCCCCAGCACAGTTACATGTTTGAAGTGTTGGTTTTTTTGCTTCCTGAACTCCATCAACAGGCTGTAACTGGCCTAAAAATCTAAGTAAACTGTTGGAACACCTCAAGGAATGAACAGGGAAACGCAGAGCTTTCTGACAGCGGCAGCAAAAGAGGAAGTGGGTCGCTCATCAATATTTTAGAGGGGTCGTTTCGCCACCGCCAAGAATCAGAGTGAGCGCATAATGTCTACAACCCAGCAGGAGAGCTGTGTGCTCACACAGAGCTGGGTGGAGAGACACAGTTAAATGAGGAGATGAAAAAACAAACCCGGAGGGGACAATGTCCAACAGAGTTAGAGCGCTAATACTGCGGCTATCTCGCCACTTTGCACAACTCAGACACACAGTCACAGTGACGACTTAAGGAAGAAAGGGAAGGAGTCGAAAATGCTCTGCAGGGCCACTGGAACCGCCTGGGACCCCTACAGGACGAGATGACCTCAGGGTAGTGCTGATATCAGTGAGATCATGATATTGTATTTAGGTTTGCATCAATAAATATTAATGACGTGGACTGATCATAAGCGCCACTGGAGGGACAATCACTCTGGGGTCCATGGCGCAGGGGGCTTCCAACAACAAGGCTAGAGTTGTCAGGTGTCCGGTTTTGGAGCAGACAGTTCGGTTGGTATTCTAGTTATGCTACTTAATTACACGCACACAAATTATCTAAGCCGCTTATCCTCCTGGGTCACCAGGAGGTGCTGGAGCCTATCCCAGCGTTCACTGGGCGGAAGGCAAGAAACACCCAGGACAGGTCACCAGTCCATCACAGGGCAGACATGCAGACATATACAGTCACACACAAACTCACTCCTAGGGGATTTAGCTTCTCCAATTCGCCTGAATGCATGTCTTTGGACTGTGGGAGAAAACCCATGCAGACATGGCGAGAACATGCAAACTCCACACAGACAGGATTCTGGTCGCCCGGCCGGGAAATCAAACCCAGGTCCTTCTTGCTGTGAGGCAACAGTGCTAAAATTACTTTTTATGTATTTTGAACAGTAAAAGCACTACCATTCAAAGGTTTGCAGTCACTGTTATCAATAACACAAAACAATTTGGTTGCATGTAGAAAATAAGTGCACATAATGATTCTGATTTGTTCATGCAACCCCACAGGTTTCAGATGATCGGTAGTATGATTAAAACGAAGAAATGTCAGGTGCGTCCAGAATGATAAACAGCACTGTAGAGGGTCCTGGCTAACAATGATAATTAAGTTATAACAAATTTATTATCCAGAATTCATCACATTTCAAAAGTGGAGATCAAATCTTGATCTCAAA